ATTTGCAGTCATGAATCCTCACTAATAAAGTTTTGTTTTTGTTAAGGAGGAAAAATATCCTTTTCCTCTACCCTTCTGGATTTTCAGCTGATGTTCCTATAAGAAAAGAGAAATTAATAAATTTACTCAATATAAGGCTTTATGTGAAAAACTTTATAAGGAAATGAAGACCCAAAGAAGTGGTTAAAACCTGAGCATTTTCATGCTAAGTTTGATGAAAAGTGAAAAGTGGGAAAAAAGTGATAGGACAAAAAGGATATGAGCTAAGTGTTGTAAACTGGGGAAACCTGTTCATCTAGATTCCTCTCTGTGTTCCTCTGTCATGGAGATAAATATTCTCCATGTTTAAGGAAAGCACCTCTCACATGAGAATCCTCCTGCACATCCTGCTTCTCAAATTCCTTCAGCTTAAAATATTTACCATGCCAAGGTATCATAAATCTGAGTAGCACATCTGACTCCATCACTTACTGTTCTATTCCCAGGATCCAACATAAAACTTACGGTAGATAATCAATAAACATATGTTGAATGTATGAATGAAAAGAAAGTGAGGAGAAAGAAAATATGTTAAGGTAAATACATCATTGGACAGCCACATCCAAAAGAAATGGGACAGTATCTTAAATCATACACAAAAACTCAACTCAAAATGGATTAAAGACTTGAAAGTTAAAACCTGAAGACCATTAAACTCCTAAAAGAAAAAATAAGAGATAAGCTCCTTGGCAATAATTTTTGGACATTACACCAAAAGCAAAAATAAATAAGTGGGATTATATAAAACTAAAAAGTTTCTTCACAGAAAAGGAAAACCTCAACAAAATAAAAAGGCAACCTATGAAATGGGGAAAATATTTGTAAATCATGTATTTCATAAGGGGTTAATATCCAAAATATAACATGTAAAGAACTCACATAATTCACTAACGCAAAACAAGCAAGCTAATACTTAAAATAGGCAGAGGACCTGAAAAGATATACACATTTTAAAAATATATTTTTATTAATTTCAGAGAGGAAGAGATAGAAACATCAATGATAAGAGAGAATCATTGATCGGCTGTCTCCTGCAAGCCCCACTCTGGGGATCGAACCCACAACCTGGGCACATACCTTGACTGGGAATCGACCCATGACCTCCTGGTTCATAGGTTGACACTCAACCACTGAGCCATACCAGCAGGCTGAAAAGATATTTTTTCAAAAAAGACATACAAATGGCCAACATCAAAATGAAAAGGTGCCCACTATTACTAATCCTTGGGGGAAATGCAAATCCAACCACAAGATATCACCTCACACCTATTAGAATGGGTATCATAAAAAAGACAAGATAACAATTGGTGGCAAGGATGTGGAGAAAAGGGAACTCTTGTACATTTTTGATGGGAATGTAAGTTGGTGTAGTCACTGTGAAGGACAGTATGGAGGTTCCTCAAAAAATTAAAATAACTGATTCAGCAATCCTACTTGTGGTATATATCCAAAGGAAATGAAAACAGGATGTTGAAAAGATATCTGCATTGCCAGATTTACTGCAACATTCACAATAGCCAAGATATGGAAACGACTTCAGTGTCCATGGAGAGATGAATGAATAAAGATGTGGTGTATAATATACAATGGAATATTCTTCGACCATGGAAAAGAAGGAAATCTTTTCATTTGTGACAACATGGATGTACCTTGAAGGCAACAAGCTAAATGAAATAAGCCAGATAAAGACAAATACTACACAGCATCACTTATCTGTGAAATCTAAAAAATAAAGAAAGTTAAAAGTCAAATACAAAGAATACAAAGCAATTGCTGGGGGCTGGGACTGGGGAGTAGGGGAAATAGGGAGAGTTGGTAAAATGGTATAAACTTTCACCCATAAACTGAGTAAGGTTTAAGGATCTAATGTAAAATGTGGTAACTAGTCCTAGCTGGTTTGGCTCAGTAGATACAGCATCAGCCTGGGGACTAAAGAGTCCCCAGTTTGATTCCCGTCAAAGACACATGCCTGGGTTGTGGGCTTGATCCCCAGCAGGAAGCATGCAGGAGGCAGCCGATCAATGATTCTCTCTCATTGATGTTTCTATCTCTCTCCCTCTCCCTTCCTCTCTGAAATCAATAAAAATATATTTAAATAAATAAACAAATAAAATGTGGTAACTATAGGTGATAACACTGTACTATACAAGTGAAGGGGGAAAGTAAATACATCAAACAGATTTATAAAATCTTTTATTCCTGTCCGCATCTACCTATGATCCAGGATCTCATGGTTCAATTCCATTCCGCTCAGGAAACATGTCTACTTCCTGGCTCCAACCCTGGTGGGGGGCATCATACAGAAGGCAGCCAAATCAATGATTCTCTCTCACCATTGATGTTTCTTTCTTTCTCTTTCTTCCACTCTTTCTCTCTCTCTCCCCCACTTCCTCCTTCCCTCCCCCTTCCTTCCTCTCAGAAATCAATATATATGTATCTTTAAAAAAAATTAAGGCTTCTAATTTAAGAGGACAACCAATTTATACAATTAGTTTACTTTCCACATCGATTGAGCTCTAAAATTATAAACTTATTAGAAAAATAAATGCTATGATTGCATCAGAGTTAAAACAAAATGCTATTTAGAATTACTTACCAGGTGTTTTCTTCTGGCAAGAGATCTGATTGACCACATATAGGTTAAGGAGGTCTAAACTGACAGTGGAATTTTTGACAGGTGATAAAACTCCCAGTAATTTCATTTTTGACTTGAATCTTTTCTTTTCAAAATATTCCTAAAATAATTAAAAATGTAAAAATTACTGCAGCAACCATAAGATTTCTGGCAGAAAAATAAATAGCAAAGGACAATAATGCTATTAAATAATTTAATTAATATTTTCATATTTTTGTGACACCCCTGTTATATGTTTACATATAAATTAAATTCATTCATGATGACCTGTAATTTGCCTAAAGACTCTAAATTTCACAACCAGTTATAATCTTTCTTTTGTTAAATGAATGCCTTTAAAACAGAACTTTATATAGTTATTCCCAGGTATCAAAAGATTAAGAATTATATGAGTGTAGAAAGTTTTAAAAAGTCTTATAAAACAAATCTAACAGGCTAAAAATTCGTTTTTCTACAAGGTATGTTATCCTACTGACATAAAAAGCCTTAAACATATGCACAGCTGAGGGCAATTAAAAGTCAACTGAAAAGAGGAAAAGAAAAAGAAGGCTGTGAGCATGGGGGGAAGGGGACAGGCTATAAGGCAGTGGTTCTCAACCTGTGGGTCCCGACCCCTTTGGGGGTCGAACGACCCTTTCACAGGGGTCGCCTAAGACCATCGGAAAACACATATATAATTACATATTGGTTTTGTGATTAATCACAATGCTTTAATTATGTTCAATTTGTAACAATGAAAATACATCCTGCATATCAGATATTTACATCATGATACATAACAGTAGCAAAATTACAGTTATGAAGTAGCAACAAAAATAATTTTATGGTTGGGGGTCACCACAACATGAGAAACTGTATTAAAGGGTTGCAGCATTACGAAGGTTGAGTCACTGCTATAAGGGGTCAATGGGAGGCAAAAGGGACATATGTAATAATTTCAACAATAAAGATTTTAAAAAAAGAAAAAGCCTGTGAGAATTAATCTCCAGCCAAAGCCAATTTAATTCCCTTTGTTATTCTTCCATGACTTCCACATTTTTTAAAACCAGACTTGCATATAATTATCATTTTCATCCAGTATTTATTTTTTCCTTGGTTGTTTGAACTATAATTATTCTTCCTTATCTTCATTCTTTTTTTTTCAAATTACATCTTTAATTCACCAAGTTCAAAGGCATTTATTTGTTTAAAATTCATTTACTGAGCAAATATTATATATTAGACACTAAAAAACAAATTGTGGAAACATCTTCTCTTCCATCAAATACTCACAATACAATACCATAAACATGGATTATAAATGTGAGATATCAAAAGTAAAAAAAGCCCAAGGTGGCAAAAAATTTAATGCAAAAGGTAGTATAACTTTTCTAAGTAGTTAAGGTTCTTTCACAGTAACATTTCAAAATATTGTTAATTATAATAGACTTTTAAGATTGTAAATATTGTAAGATCTGTAAGAGACTTGCCAGCTATCAAGTAAAAAAGTAAATGTCACATTGTTATGCAAAATTAACCATAGATAAAAGGTACCTATTTATATTTCACTAGAGGCCCCATGCATGAATTTGTGCACAAGCAGAGTCCGTTGGCCTGGCCAACATTCGGGGTTTTCTCGCCCAGTCCCAATCAGGGCCGACTGGGGCCGGCTGGCCAGAGACGGGGACCGCGGGAGGTTGGCTGGCAGCAGGAGGTTGGCTGTGGAAGTGCACTGATAACCACGGGGCAGGTCCTGTGTTGAGTGTCTGCCCCATGGTGGTCAGTGCATGTCATAGTGACAGTCACTGAATCGACTGGTTGTAAAGGTTGCTTAGATTTTTATATATATAGATTTGAGTGATGTGCAACCCCAACTTGGATTTAAATGTCTTTAAAAGCATTACACTATATAGTTCAGCAATAAAATGACAGGAATTTTGGAATGTAACTATCCCCCTTCACCCTCCCCACTCCGGAAATCCTGCCTCTTGAAAAAATGACTATGGCTATTATAATTGGCTAGAGGCCCGATGCGCAAAATTTGTGCACTGGGGGGGAGAGGGGGTCCCTCAGCCCGGCCTGTGCCCTTTCGCAGTCTGGGACCCCTTGGGAGATAATGACTTGCTGGGTTAGGCCTGCTCCCGGGTGGCAGAGGGCAGGCCAATCCATAGGTGCAGCCCCTGGTCGAGCTCAGAGCAGGGCTGATTGGGGAGTTGGGGCGCCACCCCCTGTCATGCACAGAGAAGGGTGGATTGGGAGGTTGCAATGCCACCCTCAGTCACGCTCAGGGTAGGGCCAATGGGGGGGTTTTGGCACAGCCCCCTGTCACACTCAAGGCAGGGTCGATGGGGAGGTTGCGGCGCCACCCCCTGTCGCGCACAGAGCAGGGCCCATCAGGGGGTTGAGGAGCTCCCCCCTGTCACTCACAGAGTAGGGCTGATAGGGGAGTTGGCGCACTGCCCCCTGTCACACACAGAGCCGCAAGGCGATCAGGAGGTTCGGGGTGCTGCACCATATCACACACAGAGCCACAGGGCAATCAGGGGGTTGGGGAGCTCCCCCCTATCAGGCACAGAGCAGGGCTGATCAGGGGGTTGGGGTGCCTTCCCCTGTCACGAACAGAACAGGGCCAATAGGGAGGTTGTGGCCGTGGCCCCTGTCACACACAGAGCCGCAGGGTGATCAGAGGGTTTGGGCGTTGCCCCCTGTCATGCTGATCCCAGTGCCAGGAGGCCTCATGGCTTCGCTGATTCCGGTGCTGGGAGGCATATTACCCTTTTACTATATAGGATAGAAGCCTGGTGCATGGGTGGGGGCCGGCTGGTTTGCCCTGACGGGTGTCCT